TCCCTCTGCTCACTCTCTATTTGTTTCATCTTTCTGTGAGCGGTTTGGCTTGTTATGTATCAGGCACTGTGCTTGGTTTGGGGAAGAGGCCATGAAAGAAAGAGGAATCACAGGTCTTGCTCGTCTTGAGCAGACAGAAGGGAGATGTGAAACTTAGGTCTAGTGAAATATCCCAAATGTGTTTGCTTTTGGCCTTTGCCTGAGCTGTTCCCTGAGCCAGAAAGCCCTCTGTTCCCTTCTTTGTGAACCAGTCCAGGGAGGGAGACTAAGATCTCCCACTTCTGATGCCAAATTGTGTGATGGATAACAAATGCTACTTCACACACCAGCTGTGTCCTGTGGAAATCTCATCTCCCCTTCCCTGTTCAGTTCAGACCCCAGCTGCCCATATAGCCCTTCTTTTTCTCATCCTCAGCCACCCAGTGCTGGGTCAGTGGGTACCAGCTGCAAGCTTTGGAGTCCACATGATTCTCCACTTCAGACCAGCCAACCCCAAATTTGGGGTTTCTCTCTACCTCCTCAGGGTACCACCTGCAAGCTTGAGAGTCCACGTATTGTTCTCCATTTCAAACCTGCCAGTGCCCACTGCTCCTTTAGATTCTGTAATTTATTTGCGTGACTCACAGAGCTTATGAGAAGCACTATACCTGTGATAACAGCTTTAATATGACAAGAAAGGATACAGAAGAAGAGACAGATATGGAAAGGTCTGGGAGGGGTCACAATGCGGAGCATCCATGTCCCAAAGAAGGACACACTACCCTCTCCTGTGGTTACCAACCAGGAAGTTCCATCTGAGCCTCTGTATTCAGGGCTTCTATTGGCCTTTCCAAGTGGCCATGACAGATTATATCATGCTTCCTGAGGCATAGTCAGCATTGGGCTCCCAGGCGAGCATCTCAGAAACAATTGCTTTCTGCACCTCATACCCTCCCTCGTTTTGATCTCCAGTCCAGCCATCCCTCAGAAGCCCAGTGGGATCTTCCCTTCTCCAGGAAGCACTCCCAGATGCCCCGTTGAAGAACACACTCCACTGCCTGTGTGTGGTACCGTGCTGAGGTAGCAGCTGACTCTGGATCAGAGCTGCCAGGCACATTGGCCAGTCTCCTCCCCTCAACTGTTGGTACCTGGAAGGAAAGCATGTCTTCTTAGGTGTTCCCCATCCCCTTGCCCTGTATGCTGCAGGGGGCATGCGCTCAGGACACTCCAGTGCTGGAGCGCTGACCCATCCCCCGGCCCTGGAGTGCTTGCTGTTTGATGAGAATAGCCACAGCGTCAGGCCTCTCTGGTGCCAGATCACGGTCCCGTACCAGTAGCAATAACTGAAGGTTGTGACATTATGTTTTGAGGTGGTGAGACAGTACAAACATGTGCCCCTCTGCTGAAAACGCACCATGAGGATGTGAAGATATTTCTCTCTGAGTCTTTGCTTTATGTTGAACTTATCTTGGATGCTGGTAACACATTCTGTGTTTTAGAGTGAGTCTCAGTATAATCACAACTGATTCCATTACATGCTGAGAAGGAGCTGTGGAAACACTCCTGCTGAGTGATGCATTTAGTGGGTGAGAGCCCAAAGCTTTGGGGTTTGTGACTTGCCGGGAATCTCAGAAGGAAATAATGCTGAATAGGCAGAGAGATGTTTGTGCAAGTTGTTCAGTGCAGCTTTTCGTAGAATAATGAAGAGGACATAAACTTCTGGGATTATGGTAATTAAATAAACCCATACACATCATACTATGCAGCCATTAGAATGTTCTTCAAGCCTACTTAAGAGTATGGAAAACTTTATAGTCTTAAGGTTAAAAAGCAAACCATAAAATAGAGTGTTGGATATGATCCCATGTTCTTAAGGATTTGTGTAGAAAAAGAGATGAGAAGAGCATACCCTAACATTAACATTTTATACTTTTTTCTTTCAAACTTTTGTTATTTCTCAGGTATTTTAAGCTGAATATTTATTACTTTTATAATGAGGAAAAAAATACAGATTAGTTTTTTGAAAAAAAACAAAACCATTGTCAAACCACAAGCAGAACCAGACAGCTGGAGACGCTTAACTTGAGCGGGTTGATTGTGAGCACTGGAGTCAGGAAAACAGTTGTGCAGGAGGCCGCTGCCCAACCTCACTCTGCCCGCCATGCCCCTCAACACGCTGTGGCCACAGGCTCATCGCGTCCTTCTGCCCCAGGCCAGCCTGATGGAGTTAAGAACCCCTCATCTCGAATACAACAGAGTCCCTGATGGAGCAGGAGAAAAGTGGGGTGCAGAACGCAAATTCACTAAAAAGACCAGACTTAATGGTCTGAGACTGAAGGAACCCTCGAAGACATGGCCCCCAGATGCTCTGTTAACCCAGAACTGAAACCATTCCCAAAGCCAACTCTTCCGACAAAGATTAGACTGGACTATGAGACATAAAATAATACTTGCGAGGAGTGTGCTTCTTAGTTCAAGCAGATGCACAAGACTAAATGGGTGACTCCTGTCCGGAGGCAGGATGTGAAGGCAGAAAGGGACAGGAGCTGGGTGGATGGACACAGGAAACCCAGGTTGGAAAGGGGGAGTGTGCTGTCATGTTATAGGGATTGCAACTAGTGT